TATCAAGTACGCTGATGACACCACGGTAGTGGGCCTGATTAGAGGTGATAACGAGTTGATATACAGGGAGGAAGTGGAAAATCTGGTACAATGGTGTCAGGATAACAATTTGTCCCTAAATGTGGCAAAAATGAAAGAGCTGGTGGTGGACTTCAGGAAGAAGAGGAGAGCTAAACTGACTCCTTCGATGATTCAGGGGAATGCTGTGGAAAGGGTGAGCACTTTTAAGTTCCTTGGGATCAACATCACCAATAAGCTCAGCTGGGACCTACACACTACAGGAATAGTGGGGAAGGCCCAGCAACGCCTGTTCCACCTTAGGCGTCTGAGGAAATTTGGCATGGGCCCCAATGTTCTCTGTGCCTTCTATCGGGGCACAATTGAGAGTGTCCTCACAGGGGCCATACCTCCTGGTATGGCAACTGCACTACAAACAGCCGCAGAGCAATACAAAGAGTGGTTAAAACTGCTCAGAAAATATGCGGCTGTGAGCTTGTTCCTATAGAAGACCTGTATCAGGAGAGATGCAAGAAGAAGGCCCAAAGGATTGTCAAGGACCCCAGCCACCCTAACAACAACCTTTTCCAGCGGCTTCCCTCTGGCAAGCGCTACTGCAGTCTGAAAGCAAAAACTTGCAGACTTAGAGACTCATTTTTTCACCAAGCTATTAGGCTTCTTAACAGTAGATAGACCTTACTTATCACAGTAATGTACTGTATTTTAATCATTGTCAGCAGTTTTAAATGTATTGTTGTTGTTGGAGAGAGTGTGTGTGTGTGTGTGTGTGTGTGTGTGTGTGTGTGTGTGTGTGTGTGTGTGTGTGTGTGTGTGTGTGTGTGTGTGTGTGTGTGTGTGTGTGTGTGTGTGTGTGTGTGTGTGTGTGTGTGTGTGTGTGAATGAATATGGATATAGGTGCTGCTGGTCAGGAGGGGGGAGACCTAAGATTTTTGCTCTTGCATTGTATGTAAATATGATATGAGATGCAACTTCAATAAACTAAACTAAAATAAAATAAAATAAACATTATAAGAGAAGATCCATCGCTGTCATCTTGGCAAAGAGAGGTTGCACAAAGTATTAAATGATTGGGTGCCGCTAATTGTACATATATTGCAGGGGGGGGGATGTTTTATGAAAAGAATTTCTTTCTTACATTTGTTTGGCTTTAATTAAAGCTTAGATTTTTGTGAATATCTTGAATGAAAAACTAAGAGGATAAATTGCAAAAATAAGTTTTCACAGTCAGTTTTGCTCATATTTACCAAGGCTGCCGATATTTGTGGAGCCCACTGTACAACTGTAATGAGATCGCAACACACCTCCAGAATGTCATTGAACTGAGCCTTAAGCTCGAAGTAAGACTTGGACTTCATGATGGATCTCTTCAGTGACTTCTGCAGCTCCTGCACGCGGGCTTCGGCCTCCTGACACAGCTGGGTGACACGCATGTGCTCGCGTTCACTCGTCATGCGGTCCTCCTCCGCCTCGTTCACCTGGACACCCCAGAAAAAGTTTTTTGAACTGGACCTTGTTCTCTTTGTACTTGCAGATTCTATGGGTAATATGGGGGGTTAATTGTGCATTTGTAACATATTGTTATGTACATAAACAGGCTTTTGTTTGTGCAATGAGCACATGCTCGTTATTTTTAAGGCATGAAAATTACAACAAACCACACACAAACATATATACACACACACACATGTATGCATGCACATTAATTTACATTATATATATATATATATATTATACACACACACACACTATGTACTTGCAAAACTATGCAGAATGCTATTATGATACATGATTCTGTCAAGTCGGCTCAGTAAGAAAACGCGCTCAAAGTTCAAGGTTAGAGACTTAACTGCTTGACACCACTTGATAAGAGAAGCTGAGGGAAAGTGGGATACCTTTGAGGTAGCATGATTCAACATCTCTTGCCAGGTTGGATCCAGCGTCTTGACTGCAGTGAGGCCCTGTTCAGCCACATGGACCATCTCTCGAGCAGCCGAGTGCATGGACACCGCTCTCTCAAAGCTGAGCGCGGCTTTCTGGGTCTCCTGCTGGGCCTAAAAAGAGTGAAACCAATCATATTGTATTGAAGAGACAATATCAGGTGAAGGTTGTGAGGATACCCTTTTTTGAACACAGGCCTTTTCCAGAAGGCTAAACAGAGAGTGTGTGCCCGGCTACCTCCTTTGCTTTCCTGCGTGCCTCATAGTAAGGCCTGGCCTTCTCGATGCAGGACCCCAGTTCTGAACTTTTCGCCTTGAGTTTAAGCACAGATTCACTCATTATCCTCCTGTGGCTGGACCGAGACTCCTGACAACAAAAATAGACACATACCATTCACAACAAGTTAATAATAAAATAAAGTGTGTGTATCAAGCAAGATCAATCGTTACTGTTAATCTTGTTTGGCATCCAAGAGAGAGAAAATCATAATCGTATAATCTGCATTATATAGGGTGGTTGTTATAGGTAATTAAGACTAAAACCATAAAATAAACATTTTTGTTACTTGAAATAAAATAAATATGAACTGAAATAAAATATAAAAAAATAGATAAACTATTTATTTCAGCTAGTTGCAAAGGCAACATTTCCCATTTTCATTTAGTTTATCTTGATGTACTAAAACTGATATAAAATTAATAAAAACTATATAGACGTATATAAAAAAGACAATAACAAAAATTATAAAAAGGGCACATTAAAATTACTAAAACTTTAACATTAAAATGAAAACAAAATATAAAAATAAAACCTAACTCAGAATATTAATAAAAACTATTATAACATCTCAATGATACTAAAATAACACTATGTGTTGCTTGATGTTTAATAATCAAGCTAGGCTAGTAGCAGAAAGGTTGCCGAATGGATCCCAAGTATAGTCTATCTGAAACCTGAGATTATAATCATGTACACTGAGTGTACTCGTTCTTGATTAAAGCTTTTAGTGCCGCAGTTCACTCTGACTTGGCCAGAAAAAGCATATTTATGAGAAATCAAGATCAATAAAAACGCGACACGAAATACAGTCCATTTTGTTCTTCGTAACAATGAGTTATCGCGTTCACACATCTTCGAGTTCACATTCTGACTGTCATCGGACAAACAGTGTTACGGTCTGGAGATGATCAACTCATTGAAGAAAGTACACAGATTGTTTTTTTGGGTGAGTAATAGAGTCCCATGAACACCCGTGCACTGAAGACCACCATCCAAGGTCAGGATTTTAATTAAACAATACATCCAATTTTGGTTTGTTTTTTGCCAAACCTTATCATATACCCCCAGAACACTAGGAATATACAGCATTGCTGCATGGGACCATTCTGTGAAACTTTTGCTTGTTTTGTTTTTTAAAGCTTAATGCTGGTCGATATATGGATGAGCACGAGTGGTAAATGTTCTCCTTTTGTTGTCCGAAAAACAACTGTATACTGCATTACAACAACACCAGGGTGAGTAGACAAAATTATGACTTTTTTTTTTTTTTTAGGGTGAACTATGCCTTTCAAAGCACACATACTTGGAGTTCCAGTTCCATCTTGTTGATCTCCTCGCTGGTCTCATTCAGGCGCTCTAGTTCCTCCTAGACACAGAAACACAACAGATGACAGTCACCCAGCGGTTAATGATCTTCGGTGTTGATTTAAAGGTTTGTGGTTCAATCACTGATCTATATAATGACATACTAAATCATTCTATATAGATCAGTCGGTTCAATACAAAATAAGGGTGACCCAGAAACCGAAGATTTTTTTAGATTATAATAACTTCATTAAAATACATTTGGTAAAACTTTATAATAACTAACATTATTATTATTATTATTATTATATAATGGCCGAAGTGGTGATGGTGAATCTAGGAAGGAAAGGGAATATAAAGAATATATAATATAACGGGTGATTTTATGACATAATAGTAATGAAAATAGAAATAATAAAGAACATGTTTGTCTAAATGTTTGATTGATAGTGCACATAAACAGAAATGTCAAGAATTTTTTTTATTTAATGTTACATACATTCATAACTTAACGTCCACGAACTTCACATCTGTTAAACAAATAATATTTGTTAATTAATTAAGAATTTGCACTTAATTGCAATTAATACAAGATATTTAACAGCTTGCTCGTGGACGGCTTGGTTTTGGATCAAAACGTTTTAAAAAATATGAATCAATAACTTCAATGAACAGTGTTGTATCAGAACTTTCACATGTCAGTGTAACGTTAACTTACCTGTATTCTGGGATCCAGTTCCTCCTCGGTCTGTTTACCATTCAGTGAGTGTTCATCTGGACATGTTGATCTCTCGCAGTCTTTACTCTCCATCTCTGTTTCCTCGGATTCCCCATCAGCTTCTCTGCCGTCATCAGTCACCTCCTCCTCCGTCTCATTTCCTCCTCTCTCCTCCACTGAAGTTGCTCCTGAACCCGCAGGACTTTCACGCAAAGCCGCTGGATCCATTTACAGGCCTCTTCAGATATCCGAGATCAAATGTTGCCGATTAACAAGGGGCAAACTATCAGATCGAAAGCGAAAAAGAGAGGTAACGTCCCTTGTCTATATTTTAAATGCCTTTGCCTTTCTTCATTTCTATGGTAGTTTAACTTTCTCGCTACTGCAAATGACTATCAGCAAATAAATAAACCGGATTGACGAGTTTACAAGTTCCATGAAAGGTAATATGGAGATTACATGACCAAAAATCGTCTAAAGTCCATTCATTTATCACAAATTTACCCCATGGCTAACATCGCACTGGTTCCGCCATTCAATAATTCGAAATGAGATACACAAGTGAGGTAAATAGAAAACGCGAAACCAAACATTTTAGGACTTTCTGGGTTACTGTAGTCAACGTTATGCAACATGCGTGTAACGTAATAGCGTAGGTGCGCATTTACGTATGTAATGAGTCTTTTTTGTGTGGCTAATAATAATCATTTGTATTTATTTTTATAAGAAATGAGGCATTAGATTAAATTTAACAAAACATTTATTTTCCTCTCAAAAATACCAGTATATAAGTAAAACACAAAACATAATCATGTTTTTTCTCAACATATTCCAATCACAATGAACCATACACATGATTTAATAATAAAGACAGTACACAGAAGTGAATCAAAACATCCTATATTTAAAGGCACTTAGAGCAGTATTCACAATTTAAAAAAAAAAAACGTTACTTTTTTTTATCATATTTCACCCTAATTTTCCGTTCCTAAACAAATATTCTTTGTGTGACAAATGTATAGCTGGTCAGTATAAGATTTCAGTTTAATCTGTCAGTTTAATGAAGCGACTAATCAAAGTTCTCACGTAAATCCTAGTTGACATTATATAAACACATAATGAAACCTGAGGAAAAAATCTGAGTGATCAATTAATCTGTTATTGTCTTTGGCATCATATTATCTTCATCCTGAAACCCCTCTGGAAGTTTTTCCATCATAAAGCAGCACAATGGAATTTTAAGACAATTACTCTCATGAATGATGTGAAGGGAATGATGGTAACAGATAACATGCTATATTATTTGTATGTAAATTTTTATGTACCTTAAAAAATAAATCTTGTGAGGTAGGCACAGCCCACCTCAACTCCAGCTTGGGTCATATTGACTCCAACCAGCAGGTGGAGCTAAATAGACTCTCTTTCCACGAAAAAGGAAACTAACAGCACCTCTATACCCAGCTCGTGGGACTCCTGACTTCAGGTCGTCCATTACGCCAAGACTGCGAGCCAATGTTTTAAAACGATCAGGACTAGAATACTGCACCCGAAAGGGGCCAGACCCAGACAGTTTCCCACTCTGCAAATCTTCCACGGTGACAACCGGAGCACCGTAAACCTCCTTCTCAAAGCTCTCATCATATTTATTCTTTTCTAAATAAGACAGGTCCATTTTTGTAAAAGGCACAAATTCAGTATTGAGCTTGATAAAGCGGAGGTACTTGTCGTAAAACTGCCCCAAACTCACACCCTTCCTGCCGAATGTTAAAGTTCTGGAAATTTCTGGCCTGATGCAAGACCTGTCTCTGCGTTGATCGGGGTGCCGCATCCAGTCATCCCAAAATGAAGCTGGCCATTTTGGCTCAAGCTCTGCCCAGAGGTCCTTTGTGAGCATCCAGCCCAAGCCTGGGAAAAAATCTGTCCTGTACAACAGGCTCGCTTTTCCAGGGTCCACAAATCCTTCCCGGCCATTGTCATTCCAGGCAGACACGCACCACAGAGTTGGGTCTGATTTTAAAATTGGATGAAGCGATCTGAAGTACTCAAAAAAATCAGAGGACACCTGGTGAAAAAAAGAACAAACATACCATCAACAAAATAAAATGTGAATGGGACATTCTTAAAGGAATAAATTCACCCCCAAAATGATACACAAAAGGAGACATTCTGAAAATTGTGCTGAAGCTTTCAAGCTTCAAAACAAAGGATGCAAAACGCATCTAAATAAGTATTATAATGTGGTCCCTACGGCTAAATGCCAAGTCTTCTGTAGTTAACCAATAGCTTTGTGTCAGAATCAATTGGAAATTTATTTTATATTATATTAGATAATTATTCACTGAAAATCTTCTCCTCCAGAGTGAACTGATACTCTGAAAGATCTGACTGAAAATAATTATTCATTCACAAATAAGACATTGCGGCTTCTCTTATGAATATGCCAAGGACAGCTATTAACATGTTCAGTAAATAAAATCTGAATGCACATATGTGTGTGTGTGTGTGGATCAAAACCTTTCATCAAAGTTATACATGAATTTTGAACAATACCCGTTCTTGTCTTAGGACAAATATTGACTACTATATATATACCGGTATATATATATATATATATATATATATATATATATATATATATATATATATATATATATATATATATACACACACACACACACACGAGTGTGTGTGAATATGACTTGGAGGTATATATAAACATACATAAATAAATTGTGCAGACACATACAAAGCTATTTATGACTTCACAAGATTTAAAATATAGCACAAGAGTCTTAGCAATCATTTTCAAGATACTTTTACGGTTTTATTGAAGCTTGAAAAATTCAGTCTACTTTCGCTGTAATTGCATGGTTAAAAAAAAAGTATTAGTCTTCAAAAAAAATTCCCCTTGTGTATCATCTTTGAATTTTGGATGAACTGTTCCTTTAATGACAGACTTTATACAAACAACATGCATTAAAAGGAAGTTACCTCCAGATCATCCTCCACAAGGACAACCGTTGAGTACGAAAAGGTGTTGAAAACCTGGTTGAGCGCCCAACGGTAATGCCGCGAGATTTTGTAGTAACCCTGGAACTTCTTATGCTGTGTGGGTACTGAGATATCTGAAAGATCAGGCTGTTTGATATGGGTCAGCTGACTGCCATACGAGGCGATCACATCAGATGTTTCTGCGTGTCCGCAGTCCTGGCTCACTATGATTGGGTAGAGCTCGGCCGACGGTCGGTGCTCAAAGAGTTTGTCAAGACAGCGTTTCACGGTCACACGATTACAGGCAATGACTAAAATAGGGATGACCACCGGAGATGAATGTTCTACATTTTGATTAGCAGCTGTCTCACCGCTTTTGTTCTCCCAAACTGACCACTGGTTCTGGATTTGCAATAGGATCTTCCTCTGCGATTCAAGTTCAGCTTCAAATGCATCGGCTACGCGCATCACCTCATTCATTATATATGCGAACTTGCCTCCTCCGGCTTCGTCCCCTGTGTTACCAGGTTCCCCATGGCTGTCCAGAGACCCTTGACTGGAAGGGCGTCTCATGAAGACAAATATAAGAATGACATTCCAAGCTACAAATATGAAAGCACCAAAAATAATAAGAGAACTTCTCTTGGGGAGCATGGCCTGATGCGGGATGGGACAGAGGATTCAGGAAGGAAGAAATGGATGGAGATATAAAGCGGGCATTTAGAACAGGAAGGTTTGATGGATGGATGGCCAAGAAGAGTCTTGTAGATCTTTGATTTTTTTTTCACATGCTTCGCATGATATTTTTCAGTCAGTTGTTACAAAAGTAAAAGAAATTTGTACCATTAAATTAACAGAAGGTGAAAATAAGACATATTCCACGTTTCAGGATTGCGATATAGGTGTTACGGTCCAAAGTGGCACAGTGACTTTCAGCACAGCCTGTAAAATAAGCAAGATAAACAGAGAAAAGGTCACAAGTAATGTTTGCAACTGTTCTGAATCAATATATTGTCAATACAAAGTTTTACAAGCAAACAGCTGAGAAAGCTCTCATTTGAATCACTTTTGCATACGTGCAAGTGTGAATGTTACAAACTACAGATTAGAATGGAAAAAAGTCCACTGCTTTTGCATTTCACTGGTGCACAATTTGAGTGGATTTGTTCTGTGTGCATAAAAACGTTTAATTTAATGCAAAACACTTAATTTAGTCAAGAGGGTGTATCTTTTTTTATACAGTTATGTGTAGCATAGTTTTTATTTACAACGTGGTACATTTTCACCTTCCACACATTATTCACTGAAATCTCAAATGACATAATATTTTGAATTTGTACTATTTTCATATATTTACACGGTTTTCATTTTAATTTTAGTTAAGGTTTTCGTGATTTGTGTTTTTGTCATTTTTATTAGTGAGTTTTAAGATATGTCTATGTAGTTTTTATTTTGGTTTTAGTTATTTTACTACATCGAGTTAAACTAAATGAAAATGAGAAAAATTATTGTTGTTCTGATAATCCATCCATTAGGGTATTTTATATGAAGCCGTGACCCGTCCTGCAGTGTAATCCTATTTTAAACATTTTGTGTATAATACACTGTTTTATGATTTCATATTAATTGAGAGACAACATCACATATTTGTACTTCAAAATCTGTTATTTAACTGCAATTAATTTGACTGCTACTTCATTTAAATAATTTAAAATAAATAATGAAATAGCTAACGTGTGATTTAAAAAGATGGAAAATAAATTCTGACTTGTTAGAGCATTTACGTAGGCTAATTTAAACCTATGTATTTGTCAACTAGCCTACATTATGAGAATGTATCATGATTATGCAGTACGCCTTGAAATGATACTAAGATCCGTTTCAAAATGCACTAAAGTTATTGTTTAATTAGTCACTGTTATTGGTTGAAAATTTATTTTGAAATGTACCTTCACATTGTAGGCTATACGTTAGTAGTATGTGCAAATATGGTAACGGAACAGCAGGCTCGTCTGTCGATCAATAATCTCACCTGTAGCTCATCCAGAACTCCCTCAACCACAACCGCCTAACAGTAACTAAACCAACCTGTTTATCACCCATGAGAGATGAGTTTAAGCAACACAATGATGCGTAAAAAATGCAAACATATCTGACTTACACGAGTCAACGCGCACTCATACTCTGTCATGTTTCCCGTCTTCCTTATCTGCCTGTACACTCATATTTCCGTCGCTTCAAAGATTATGTCCAATTTCAACTAATCCAAGTCATTTATTTGAATCTGGTGTGGATTAGACGTTGAATAATCCTTAATTTGAAGAGCAGTAAACTTCCTTCGCGTATACGCTACCCTTCAAGCTTCGCTCAAGAATGTAATAGAGTTCTTGACTTGACTTCCGGGTGGCGTCATTTTTAGGAAGTCCCTCCCCCGCCTGTGTTTACCTTTATTGAGGAGATACGTGTACATAAAACGCATTTCCTTTGTGTCCATGAAAGGTGAAAGGTTAGAGAAAAGGTTTTGACCTCTGGATACGTGGCTGTATAAGGCGTCATGGTTTTTATGCTGATCCCGCGAAATTTATTAGCAGTGTCTCTGGTGACTGGGGATCTTATTACAAGAGCAACCAGAGTTGGAAAACAGGTGGCCTCCTCAATTAGAAAAGCATATGTGCCCGACATAAATCGGTACTTGTGAATTTTGTAAATCGTCCCACAGTCACTGTAAACCTATATCACATGTGCATGTGATATGGAGTTGACCTGTAAAGTCAAGAAGATAATAGAAGCAACTCCCCTGTTGAACCACATTCATTTTGTCTAGTGTACCCTAGTATTTGTATACAAAAAATTGCATTGTTAAAGGATTGATTAATGACATACAAATGGAACTCATATTAATATGCATTGCAAATATAATTTGGAAATGTATTGGGCAAAAGGTGAATTCCGTGGTCTTGTTTCAAGAGAGAATGGAGTCTGAGACTACTTGTTTCTTAATAATTAACTTTCGTTTTAAAAATAACTAACTTAATAGTCCATATTTTAAAAGCATGCTGTGACTCTTATAAATAAAGTTTGCTGCAATGTTGTCAGCACAGTCTCACAATCATCCTTCCGGAAAAAAATCACAGGAGCAAAAATACTATTTTAATTAATATCAGCACAATAACAAGTGGCCTATTTATTAATAGACACAAAGTCAAACATGCACACTGTAGAAAATTATATGATCAATAAGTTATGACAACATATGTTTTTACATTGCTTTAACTCACCAAAATAAGTTAAGTAATATAAAAAAATATATAGGTTATACAAGAGTCAACTTATTCAAGTCAGTTTAATGTAATTTAAGTTTAAATGACTTAAACATCCAAGTTGACAGCATCAGGTACCTGATCATAAAGGCTGCTCAGGGAAAGGGGAAAAGTATGGTGCAAAAACAGTGGCAAATGTATAAATTGTATACAACACTGCATAATATTCCACAAAGCTGAAGTGCATGAAAGAACATATCTATCTATCATGGGTATGAAAGTGCATTTGTGTGAAGTGTGTGTCGTGGTCTACAGCAGAAGACTCATTCCCCAGGTTCAGCTCCTTGATCTTCATGATGTTCAGAGGTGCATTTGACACACCCACTCAACTTATCACACTACAAAAGAAGAAGATAGTATTGTTATAATAGTATAGCCACCATCATTGCATAAAGCATGCTAAAAGCAGTAATTTCTTAAACTCTTGTAGCCCACTATAATTCATTAAAATATTGCTTATGCAACAGCAACCTCTTCATTCAACTTCATTCAAAACAGTCAATAATTTTATGTAGAATCCTCCTTTATTCTGAATTATGAATAGCATGTCATCATGTGTTATCTGGAGATTTATTTAAAAGTTAGAATTGAATTGATTCTACATTTCGGGCAAAAAAAATTGAGGTCAGTTATGTAATGGCCTAATATGTCACCATTATTTTGTGTATTAGTGATGCTGTAAAACTATCATATAAAAAGTAAATATTTAGTATAGTATAAAATAATATAAAAAGTATATAATATATAATAGTAGCCATATAATAATCATCTGTTCTGTATAGAATTATAAGTAAAAAAGGTTTGACTGAGTGACCTTTTCAAACCACATTAGAGTTGACTTACATCCGGTTGAAGCTGGTTCATCCTGCATATTCCAGGTTGCGTCCGCACACTGTCTGACACTGCAGTTGTCAAATATATCAGTTTATCCTTTAAAGACCACAATAAGCCAAGAGGGAACAACTCATTCACACTACTGCGGTTCAGCGTGCTTATACTCTGAGCGCAAACTACACAAACACATAAAGTCCGTGGATGATCCAAGGTTAGTTTTCGTAAACGCGTGCCATCCAGTCGAAGAACCGGGTTGGTTTTGGATGAAACACTATAGCGTTGAGATTTAAAAGCAAAACCATAGTCCGACATAACTTTCGTCTTTGCACCGGGTGCTTTCATTACCATTCGGCTGTCAAACTTTGTAGAGTTTTTGAGCAGTTGATCTTTGGATTCAAATGATTTTCCTGAACAGGACGTTTCAAACCGCGCTGTAACGGACAGAACTCCGGGAATATCCACTCGCTCCCTGTGAAACACGAATCCCCAAAGAGAGCGAAAATAAGATCTGACCGAATCTCCCCCGGTCCTTCCGAGCCCGTAGACCGACGCTGGAGACCGCTTCTTGTTGGCCTGTTTTCGGGCGAGGATATTCCCCTGACACCGGAGAACAGCCGACAGGGCTGAGGCAGAGGGTGTCGAAGCCATCGCAGACTTTCTTTTGGGACTTTTGTGATCCTTTGAAATGCAGTCCTTATCAATATTTCCCAGTAAAATCACTTTTTGATGTTAAGAGACCCCTGAGCACGAATCTGACTTTGAATGACAGACTCAATGCCCAGGCTATAAAGCGTTATACAGGGCTTGCGTCAGATAGGGGTGTTGGTTATCAACTTGCCTGTGGCCAATATCGTGTGTTCTTCACATGCTTCACATGTTCTTCACATCCACATGATATGCCACATGACATTTCATGAGCTTGTAGACTAAGATATTATCAATCAATATTACTCATAAGTAGTTTATATTTTCCACAATTAGCTCATAAAAATAAGGTGCTTTTTGTCTCAACTTTGTCTCAACTGTACCCATATGTGGTACAGTTGAGACAGTACCATGGTACAGTTGAGACACCCATTTTTAATGATGTAAAGGTAACTAATCGTTCATTAAAAATATAATAAATAAAGACAAATAAAAAAATAACAATTGGGCAACATGTTTGTTTATTCATCCATTCAAATTCATTAATGTTATTTGAATTAGCACTGGTTAAATTTTATAAAACAGAAACAATATATTTTATATATTCATTAATAATACACAGTTTAATTATCACAAATACCTATTTTTTATTTCATTTGCAGCTTATGCTGGCTAATTATGACATTTAACCTGTTATCATAACACTGAACAACTAAACAGTGTGTTTCCTAATAGAGGGAATGCATTAACGTCACTTCCCCGCCGGAACACGCCCCCCTCAGCGGGACTGAGTGGCAGAAGAGCTGCTGCGTGACTGGAGTTAATAGGGGAAACTGCGTTAACGCGAGTAAAACAAACTATTATCAGTTTAAACTAAAAGTTGGACTCGATATAGTGTTCCTTACAACTTATCAAAGATCCAGTGATCCATGGATATTGACATGCAGCCAGGAATCGTGTTTCCTGACATTTATATGTGCCTGATTTCGACGCCGGGGAAATAAATGAAGACAATTTGCCTGTAAACGTTTTATATAAATACAATATAGATAGGTCTAAATCCGAGTGATCACTTACATTAATGTTATACTGTATATCATCATATCATCCAGCCCTAAAACTTGTATAGTTTTTTGTCAGTGTTTATTTAAAAACATCCAAATATGCAGAATATAGTCTGTTCTGTAGCTTTTTGCAGTCTGTAAAAATATACAGTACCTCAGATTTCTGGTCAAATCTAGTTGTACAGTCAATCGCAAAGCTCTTTCCCGTTTTAGATGTGTTTTGTGTGATTTTCACGGCGTTCACGCTGAAAACAAATGCTGCCGCTCAGTCTTTTTGCCACTTGTGGGCGTGACCGCATTCACTCCGGCCGACGGTGACGTCATGCGCATACCCTCTATTGAACTCTATCGCGGGTACAGTTAAGACAGTGTGTCTCAACTGTACCCTGATGGCCACCTCGCGCATTTCTCTAGATTTTGCAATGACCATGCCTGAAACAATCCCATGAAATATGCCCGTTTTTAGGGCACAGAATAACGTTTGTGATTATACCAGTTACGTTTAACAGTCACATAAGGATAATAAGCTATTCATTGTGGAGTGTGCATGGTGAAGTGAACGTCTTACCTTAAAAAAAAAACTTTTGCCGATATCTTCGGAGCGGAGATGCGTCCATTGATCAAATTTCCCACGATCAAAGAGGACACTAATAGCATGTGCACAGCAAAAATCACAACTTGTGCTGGCTGCGCATGCAAGTTATTTAAGGTGTCTCAACTGTACCTATGTCTCAACTGTACCCAGTCTACCCAAGTAATAGATTACAATATTGCGTTACTCCAAACTAATTGCGTTACGTAGTTACTTTTATGGAAAGTAAAGCGTTACGTTACTTTATGCGTTACTTTTTCTCACATGGGCTGGCTTGCTTGTTTGTTTTTTAATAACAAAAAAAAAAACTATTTTTGGCAAATGCAAAGACCCCTTCACACATGCAAATTCACAACTTTCGGATGTTCTGGCATTCTGGATTGCAGAAGAATAGGAATGCAGGAGAAGCGCTTACTTCAGCAAAAAGAAGAAGAAGAAAGTAACACAAATGTGATGTTTATCTAAAGTCATTTTAGCTTATTAGCCTAGCCCTAGGCTATGGTTGAAAAGGATAATCGAAGGTCGGCAGCAAATAAATTGGTGAGATTAAAGTGAGATTAAATAGGCCTACATAAAGTATTGCGTAATTTAATATATTTAATTATTGCAGGTTTGTGTAATATTCTGATTTTGCATCTCACTGTTTATTAATTTTGAGTAATCCTGAAACACATTTGGCAAGTGTAAATGCTTGTTCACATTTAGAACTAAAATCTTCATGTTTACACAGCACACACAACGCCAGAGGCTTACGATTTCTCTCAACACGGGGACAGGAGAGGTGTCAGTCAATAAATGAGAAAAACAAAGTAACTTGCGCTGTACTTTTTTTTTTTTTTTTTACTCAGATATTTTGTTGTAAATTTAAAAGTATTGCGTTACTAGTTACTTGAAAAAAAAGTACTCTGATTACGTAACTCAAGTAACTTGTAATGCTTTACACCCAACAGATATCTATAATTTTTGAATAAACTTTTTTTCCACCTTGTATATTCACATACCTATTATGTAAAACGAAATGTGTATGTTTTAATAAGAAAGGCCAGAACCCACCATACCCCCACCCTGCTTACACAGACCATTATAGAGCAAAAATATGATTGGGCCTCTTGACCTATTTTAAAAACATACTCATATGAACTTGACTGACTGACAGATACTGGCTATGTTGTATAAATAAACATTTGTGCTTTTGCACATTTATGAGGACATAATGAACCATATATTCTATATTTTGAACTGTTAAGAGGACAATTGGACAAGCAGGCCTGGATTTTAGAAGAATAAAATCAGACTTAAACAGTCTATAACTGTATCTTGTGAATGCAGTGTACAGAATGTACACTGGAGGGCATCTGAGCTCACTTTTGATGGTTACCTATGTAGGAAATAGAGATTTATATGTATAATGTGACACAGAAATGCTAGGTAAACTGACAATTTTGTGGCGCAACATGTATCTATATTGTCCAACAGTGATAGAGATCATTTGCAAGTCTGGCTGGATGCCTGGCATGCATTGGCATCAACAAAATATATCTGTAATGTTGTGTCCTCGTTTTTGTCCTTTTTAGTTTGTTATTCTAGAGCACTTGGATTATTCTAGCACTTGGTTACTTGGATTTTATAATTTGGATTAAGCACTGTTTTTACTATCAGAACAGACCTGCAATACATTTTTTTGGGGGTCACAAGAACCACTTTTATCTGCTGCATTGTTATTTTTTGTATATGGAATTATATCCTTCATTAGTTTTAACCCTTATTTATGAAACTAAAGTCCTGCTGACACATCTGTTCCAATGTGCTTGTAAAATAGTAGTATGTGCTTCATTTAAGGGATTACAAGGTGACTTGTGAGTAAAAGCCACATTGTAAAGCCATTGAATATCAAGTTTAATATTATTCTAAAGCAGATGTTTTCTGATTGCTGCATTGGTTATGTTTCTGGTCATTTTCTTTTTTTTATCGGTCAACTTATAATTGTAGGTTCACTCTAAAAATGTATTGACTGAATTAAACCTTTTAAGTTGCAAAGATTATTGACATAATCATTACATCAACAACTTAATATTATGTGAAATTTAAACTGAGTTTTTTTTTTTTGACACTTAAACTGACACTTTTGTTGGAAAAACTATTTGGAGTAATCAACTTAAAAAATCATGTTTATGCTACAAATTATAGGCTATACTATACTTTACTATACTATACTATACTACATACTATACTATACTATACTATACTATACTATTTATTAAATACAATAATTCTCAGTGTAGTTTGTTGGTTGAGTCTTAATTTTTGAGCTGTTATTTATTTAGTTGAAATTTGTTTTCAACAAAATAGTTGAAAGTGTATATTATCACTCAACCAGAAAATGGTCTAAAACGTTTATTATTTTCCACTTTTTTGTCTCTCCCCATTTGTGCAAATGAATAAAAAACTATGAACATACATTATAATTATAAAATTAAGAGTGTGTTATTTACATTATGTGCAGTATAATTCAAAGAATTATACATTTCTAATAAATGTCTTTCCAACATGAGAAAGAACATTTGTGCTGTCATGTACATTTTCAGACTGATATTATTTGCATTGGTTGTCACATTGTCACATTTGTTGTCACATTTTTGTCTTTCCGCGCCAATACCACAAACCATATAGATACAAAATACCTTACAGTACATAAAAAAAAACAGAATTCTTCATGAAATCAAAGGGGATAGTAATATTGTACAATAGTATTATTATTTAATATTATCCAGCCCTTTTAGAAAAAAAAACCTAAATTGATTCATAGTTTAGAAAATTCATCACTGGTCAGATAGACGTCACCATTGCCTCTTGTTCTTACAGACCTTTGCATAATAATGTCTCAGTCTGTGTAAAATATGTCCATGCTCAACAGCCTTCAGTGTATGATATGTTCAAGTTTTTCCAGTTCATTCCAATCGACCCTGTCTGAAGCTTCTTACACAAACGCATACAAAACATGCAGTGTTGTGTTCAATGCAACGGGCTCCACTATAAGAATCCAGCTTGTTTGCTTTGCCCGTCATCCTTCTTGAGTGCTGTGTGTTTTCATCATCCCTTAAGGTGATGGGCTTGGAGAAGTTGTGTTCGGGACTTGTATTGGTTTATGCATAAAGGGCATCACCACAAAGGTGAAGATGCCGACCAGCATCAGAGCCACGGTGATTATGATAATGGCTCCAAGTACGGCATAATAGCACTGATTGGAATACATTAACCTTCTCATGCGACCCCTCATCATGCTGGGCGGTCTTCCCACGTCGATCATAGTCGCCTGGCCCAGACCTTCCTCCATGACTCCAAGTGGGTTATTACCGGCCCGCTCCTCTTTCTTCTTTAACACCGGCAGGTTTAAGCTGGTCTTAATAAAGCTGTTTGGTGTTGGATTCTTAAGGATGAGTTTGCCCTTGCTGCGTTTAAAGCGTACGGAAAGCGCCCTTTGCATGTCGGCCGGAAGTTTCCGGAAGATGTCTTCGTTATTTCCCAGGTGAGGCAGATCTCGGCCGTGTCGGATTACCGTCAGCTCCCGACAGATGGGGCAAATCAGCATCTTGAGCTCGGGAGAACTGACGTTGATGCGTGCCAGGCATTCCAGGCAGAACGTGTGTCCGCAGGAAAGTAACTTGGGAGTCTTGAAGACGTTGTCGAAGCTGCAGAAGCACACAATGCACTCGGTGTCTTCCAGGTCGTCTCTGGGTTGCTCCGTCTTGTAGTGTCCAGGCTCGTGGTCGAGATCTCGCCTCCTTCCCTCCTCGCTCCGACCCCGTTGTTGCTTTACGCTCTCCTTCCGGTCCCGTTCTCTACCCCGGCTACCTTCACGACGCCGGTTTTCCACCTCATTGCTGCGGCTTCTCCTAAGAGGCTTGTCGGGCTTCTGTCGTCGCTCTGAAGTTCCCAGGTTGAAGCTGCCCTTACTTTTAGGCTTGACATTGGGCCCTTTTTTGCTGCCCTGGGGTTTCTCTTTGCCGTCGCTCATTGTGTAGAGCCTTGGATCCACAGGAGCGGATTAAGAGAAAATGGAAGTGTAGTGCGGAAAAGCCTGCAAGGGGACATGAAGCAATACACTATCAGTCTAGATTACAAATACAATCGATGGACTTGACATTCAACAGGCACATGATTTCAAAAAGTGCTGCATGACCTTGTACAAGAACGAACTCAGGTCACCAAAGTGTACAGCTATGCAACTCAAAGGTGGAGATCGTAAACTGAAGTTTGCCATTAGCAGTCAAGTGTGATGAGAACATTGTTTGTTGGTTATTGCTTGCTTTTCTTTGTATAGGCCTGGAATGGCCTTGAGTTTCCTCCATCTTTCATATTTGAAATCGATTTGAAATCGACCCATATAAACCCAAATTTCGATGGCCTCTAAATGATCAACATGATCAAACCTTTGCTAAAAAAACCTGTAGTGCACAACGTGCTTCCATGTCATCTCATTGATAGTTTATCCTTTTCCCTATCATTCTAAAAACGTCCCCCTTCAGGTTGTGGTTCACGACACGTGTCTTTTTGCTTTGAAATCTTTAAGCAAGCGTAAGAATAACGTTTATATTGTTAGTAATATTTCAAGATGAACATTTACCGGACTGAAGCAACTTGGTTTACTGCATTATCCATACATAGTTTTTTTTTTTTTAGAAAAATCATGTAAAAATGTCAAATATGATTTTAATATGGTTTTTGAGGAACGCTTATTCATCTTTCATTTCATCTCTCAATTCATTTGACTTTTTGGCCATATACATTTTAAGAAACTGCACCAACTGCCAAATTGACAATAATGGCAATAAAATGCTGGTGTTTTTTCCTCCTCAAGTCAAGTGTGAGCGCCATATTCTCATTATATGAACCATAAAAGCATAATGTATCAAATATGATACTCAACAAAAACACATATGCAATTTAAAGGCTCAATAAAATTTTCCATTTAAAAAAAATAGATTTTTCAGACGATTATTTCATATGACAGGCTTTACAGGGTTTACACAATTCTTCTGAGTTATCTTGTTACATGTTTTACAATGTTCATATGTGATCTTGGGTTAGTAATTAACACAATGAACAATTGTAAACCTCAGGCTACCATTCTTATTTGCATATTTATGAGGTTGAGAACATCTCAGCGAATATGGCCTGGTCAATCTGTTTGTAAATTGCTAAAATAATACTCGTCACCCCAGCAAAGCACAGGGTTGCCAGGTTTGCGTAACAAAACCAGCCCAAATACTGAGGTGTTTTATGAATGCCTGTCGCTAAACAACCTGCCGTTGTATTGTAGCACCATATTGTTTCACATTGGCACCGCAATTAAAGGCATAACCAAGGGATAACACGCTAACCAACTTTCTAATTGACAAGGAATTTTAAATGAAATTAGTGTGTAAATCCCATAAGAGTGTTGACCTAAACTCAAAATCTGACTGTACAGGAATGCCAACCAGAATATCAAGTTTTTACAGGAAGGTGCAGATCCCAGTTTCATTCTGTTTGCTTATAGTTAAGCTTTAACTGTGAATCAAGTCAAGAAACTCATGAAAAAAATAACAAGGAATGTCTACAGCAAACAATTACATTATTGAATGTGATATTATGAACATGTAAAATCCAGGTTGAATTTAGTTGTTCAGTAATTAAATTAGCCCATGTTTTTGCACTCAGTTCTATCTATAAATGTTATACCGACTGGCCACATAAAACACAATCAACACCTTTATTTTTAGGAGTATTAACTTTGAGCAGTAAGCAGAACTAGTTATTTTTCAGATCAATAAATATATTTGGACTAAAGGACTTCCCAAATTAAAAGCACACACCCACAGGTTTAGCACAAACCAGATCACGTCAGACCTGTCACTTACACACCCTTCATTTAAGATCAAGCCACACTTTTTACGTAAGTGAATTTCATGAATGTTTGTCCAGGTTTGTTTGTTAAAGTCAGTTCCTTTAGGCACATACCTTAAAGATAATAAAAAAAAGGCTTTTTCGCCATTATTTCCCCAAAAAATTAACAGAGAAGACTTTGCTTAACATTGCAATATGTGGGCAATTTTGTCACACTGGAATAATAGAATTAAGTAGCATTTTTAAATAAATTACAAAATAAAACATACAACGTGTGACAAAGTATACAAGCAAAATATTAGCCAAAATATGAATTTTAGTTTGGAATTCACAAAAAAAACAAAAAAAAAAAAACAAGAAAGAATCAAATTCAAAAGAGGTTTGAGCTAGGTGTATTTCTTTTTAGTCTTTTACTTGCTCAAAATATGAAATATTCATCAGATGACAGAAGGCATTTAGTAGATTGTGTACAACAAAAGTTTTGATTGTGTTGATAATTTAGAGGCCTTAGAAATTTGAGTATCAAATATGTTACAGTATAGGCTTTGTAGAGTTAAGAATGATCCTTGATCAATACGCAAAACCACTATCAGAGAGAGTATATATTTGTGTAATTGGACTGTTGACTCAAAACCTTATAGTTGTAATAGCCATGTGACAACACTGTAAAAAAAAGTTGCTGCCTGAATTTTTAAAGTCATTTCAACTTAAATCACATTAAACTGACTTAAAAATAGTTGAATCTTGTATAACAAATGTTTTAAAACTTATTTTGGCGAGTTAAAGCAATGTAAAAACATTTGTTGCCATAACTTATTGATCGTATCTTTTGTTTTTTACAGTGAACTAGCCCCATGTCTTCATGTTGGATCTGCATTTTATAAGTTAAAATCACAAAAAAGTGTTTCTAAAAACTTGCAATGTACCTATGAGCTGAAGAGCAGTTGAACCCAGATGTTTAGGTGCCTCTGAAGTTTGCCTGGCTCCAGAAGCACATATTCCAGGTGTGCATCCAACAACGCAACGTGAAAGGTGTGCAATCCAGTCCTTTCTGTCTTCCTCAAAACCTATCACTGCGGTTTTCATCATATGTTAGTTAACGCAAGCAAAGTATCTCCACCTCTTCTGCATGTTTATCTCTCTCCCTCCCTCCCTCTTTTAACCATGTCATACCTGTTAAACTTGTCCAGTTGCCATTTACTCCAGTTTGAATGTGAGGAATCCACTAACTAATACTTTGTTTTTCTGACCTTGAATGAAACCGAATCCACCAAGTGTGCTTCTCAATGCTCTAAAAAAAAAGCCCACCAAAGTGTCATCGAAAAACTTTTAACGTACTCCAGGACATATAACTGGAAATATGCTCCATTTAGTTGGGAACAATAAGGAAGTGACTAGGTTAATTCTGTTCACACACACCCACCCTGATAAGGGTTCAGGAAGCACTATCCCATTCCAGTATGCAGACATTTTGTGTTATAAAGGTTGATACCGTTTGTTGTGGTGTGAATCTCCTTCACTTTATCACACATAGCCGTTGTACCTGTACTTTTATCCGGGATTAAGTGTTGTTAAAGGGATAGTTCACTTTAAAATTAATTTTTGATATGTTTTAGCTTACCTCAAGGGCATCCAAGATGTAGGTGTCTTTGTTTCCACAGTATTTTCAATTTTGATATTTTTAGGTCAAACCGTTCTTGTCTGTCAGTCATATAATGCAGGCATATGGGGTCCACCTCAAAGAGCATGCACAGAGAAGTCCAAATTAAACATGATTTAATGACTCATAAATGTAAGTACACATTGATGGCCTACGACACGAAACAAGCGGTTTGTGTGAGAAAACGAACAGTTTTTTTATATCGTTTTTACCTCTTGTAACCACAGCCACGTCCAAGTGATCTGAGGGCGCCGGCGCTTCGGTCTGCGCAAGCGCCGGAAATCCCCGGAAGTGATCTCTCGCGCGTGTACGTCACTCTTTGTTTACACAGAGATTTCGGAAGTTTTACCTTTCACTGTGAAGATCTAAACATATTTAGATATACAGGAAATCGCAATGGAAGATGATTTCGGTATATCAACAGACAACGTTCCGGGGCTTTCCGGCGCTTGCGCAGACCGAAGCGCCGGCGCCCTCTGAGTACTTGGACGTGGCTGTGGTTACAAGAGGTAAAAACTATATAAAAACTGTTCGTTTTCTCACACAAACCGCTCGTTTTGTGTCTTAGGCCATCAATGTGTACTTACATTTACGAGTCATTAAATCATGTTTAATTTGGACTTCTCTGTGCATGCTCTTTGAGGTGGTGACCATAGACCTGCATTATATGACTGACAGACAAGAACGGTTTGACCTAAAAATATCAAAATTGAAAATACTGTGGAAACAAAGACACCTACATCTTGGATGCCCTTGAGGTAAGCTAAAACATACCAAAAATTAATTTCAAAGTGAACTATCCCTTTAACACACTATTGACACTATTGTTTCATAGTAAGATAGAAGAGCAGAAATGCAATTTCTAGATGACTGGATAAGCCGTATGCAAAATTCACATGGCTGCACTTGGAGGATCAGATTTCCAGACTGTTTTTAGATTAAAGGGCGGATGTAGCGGTTAATTGTAGTCGCTGGTTTGAACAATACAAGGTGATCGCCTCAGATAAGTTACCAGTTTGCAAATGAAGGAAAACTAGCTTATTCTGGCTGGTGTTTATGTAGGAATGTTTGATGGTTTGGTTTAAAAAAAAAAACTTGAAATGCAGAGGGATTTTAATAGGGGGCTGTTCACACAACACACTATCATGGCAATATTCATATCATCTTACATTTTGGCAAATTGGTGGCTAATTCATTTGATTTCGCACACATCTCATTCGTATGTTTTTCATACAATCTATTTACGTCCGGTTAGGGTTGGGGTAGACCTTTATGCTTTTTTTAAAAATAGTTACGCTCACTTACCCCCTAAAGTCGGCATGAATCGGATCGTGCGATAGTTTATTTCCCATTGTGATGTATATCCGAGTGAAATGGCTTCTATAATGAGAAAAATGAAGGTAGGATCTTATTATCTTTCGGGAATTGATTGGATCGTAGGACGTGTGGCGTTGCAAATTATATGGACGCAGTTCTGAATCCCAGTTTGCAATAAGTTGTGGAGGATATTTAGGCTATGCTAAAAAAAATCCAATTTTGTGCATATCCAGATTTTATCCATATGGGTTTTTTAATGTCTGGACAGCAAATAAACCACATGAAATCTTATTTTTTTCAAATCTGATTCAAACCATATTTGAAAGTGGTTTGAAATGCGTTCCCAATCGGATTTTTACAGAATTATGCATTTCAATGTGAACTCTACCAACCGCTAAATGAATCTGCATCAGTCAGGTGGTACAATTTAAAGCTCTGTAAGTTGTTTACATTCATTATTATTGTAATGTTATGTGCTTGGAGTCATGAGGTAGTTAAATGCCGTCTCTCGTAACTCTTTGTAGACTCTGCTGGGTGTGTTTGTGTGTTTTGGAGGAGGCGTGACTTTGGAGACGCTCTGAAAGGAGGCTGGGATCTTGTGCTTTCAAAGCTAGCTCGCTATTGCTAGCCTCTCTGAAATTGCCTACCCTGCCTTTAAATAGATTTCTGGTGAAAAAACCTTCCTGTTGACATTGACAGTCAATTTTACTACTTTAGCTACTCATTGACTAACGGCTAATTTCGGCTGTTTTTCTGTTCATCTGGGAGCTTCAGGGTAAAATACAAATTACTGGAAAATATCAATCATTGACTGCTGGCTATATATTAAACTATATGGCACAAAGTTCCAGGGGACAGAATTATACTTTTCTATGGTAAATGTAAATAAATAAATAATCAAATGTAAAAGTTAAAAATCGAATTTTACATGAAAATTCTGCTCTTGGATTATGCTGATCCATACTTACATATTCTAACAAACTGCAGGGTGTGCCTGTTGTAACACATTAACCTTTCTTCATTAATAAATACATTTTATTGCACAACCCCCTCCTTTTATATTGATATATCCATGGTCTGTGTCATTTTATCCATATTAATATCCCTAGTTTGGAGTATTAACATTTCCTCCTGGCTCCCTTCCCTAAACTTATTGTATTTTAGACAGTCACCTGAGGGCAAAAGCCTTGCCAGACACGTGCTCGAGGTTTAGCGTAACATACCGCTGAGAACAATCTCTGTGTATTTCAGAAAACATTGTTTCCTTAATAACCTACAATTGTACGACCTTTGATAACATTCTTCTATTGACCCACATCAAGCCATATCTCTTTAATAGTTTCAGAGGTCACATAATATAAGAGCATATCTGAATAACAATAAAAAACACGTGTATACTTGTCAACAAAAATATATTTCCTCATTAAAACACATGAAAACAACTTTAGCTGAAACATAAAATTACGAGTCGCCAAAATATTTTACACAGGATCAGCAAATTACCAAACGAAGCGTCTGATAATTTCCAGAAGAACACTGCTGGAGATTCTGCCATCGCTGATCTCCTGTCTGTCTGTCCGTGCAGACTCAGTGTCATATTGGGGCGGAAGAGTCTCTTGCTCGTCTTATCTCAGGATCAGCCCAGTTCTTCACGGGCTTTGCCTTGTTTGCGGGGCATCTTTTTACTGCTGCCGTCCTCAAGTTCTTTGTTCTTATAATAATGAGGAGCCACTTCCAGCAGCCAGCTGTTATCAATCTCTATCACCTGAAAGATAGATTTTCTTTTTTTAGAATAAGGTTTAGAATAAAGCATATTTGTACATTTTCTGAAGAATAATTAAGTGCTTGCCCATTCAAAACTTGCTGGCAAGACTTTAGGGTATTTTCAGTGGTTGCTAAAGCATTACAATGTGATTTCTAATGGTGTGTTCACACTTGTAGTTCGGTTCTCGTGGTCTAGACCAAAAAAAGAAAATGATACATTTTAGTCCCAGTGTTCACTCTGTCATTTTTAACACCAAACTGTGTGCTGGGCTAAATGCACTCATTGTATGTGTGTATATATGATGGTATTTTTTATCAGCTGAATACTCACATAGAGATTGGAAAATGTGTAATGGATTAAATACACAGCGCCTGGAATTCATTTGTTGGCTGTATTTTGTTCGTATTAATTCCTTGCCCAATGTCTTTGATATAAATTGAAAATAAAATAGGAACTAAAATCAAACCTTGTCGTACACCTTTATTTATTATAAGGTAGAGGAATAATTATCTTCATTTTTTACCATCTATTTAAATAAAGCTTCATGAACTAGTACAGTAGAAATAGTCGAGAAGATAAATATCTTTGTAGGGCAAAGAGAAAAAACATCAATGTTTTCAAAATTATTTTAAAAATCCACTTGTTCTTATTTATTTAAGAATTCAGGTAAATTAGATTACTATTATTTAAATCATCACTTAACATAGAAACATAATAAGAGGACTTTGTATTTTTTTTACCATTTTTATGCATATATTATGAAATGTGCTATAGACTGCCAAACTGACGGATTATTTGATTTCTTTGCTTTAGTCCATGCGGCATCCCTTTGTCTAATAATAGTAAAAATAGCGTCATTATTAAACCATGGATTGTTTTCTCCACCTATCCTAAAATTTTGATAAAAGGAGCAATCAGCATGTTTATCACATAACGTTAAAAAGTTGTTCTTAAAATAATCCCATGCTTGCTCAACATCATCCATTATAGAAACATGGTATAAATCAATCACTGTAATAGAAAAAGCCTTGTTCGTTTAAATGTTTAAACAGTCTTTTGTAAATAAAACGCAATATATTCTAGGCCGGGGGTCTTTTCTCCCAAGTTTCTCACACACACAACTGCACAATGGTCGCTTAAATCATTACAAAAATATAATTTTTTGAGGTACATTAATTAAAATATAGTCCAATAATGATGATTTAGACATATCTTTATGGTGCATCGATGATTTTATCAACTGAACCAAACCCAGAGAGTCACAAGTTTCTTTGAATACCTCAGAGGTTGAAGATAACCAGTACCAGTTCAGGTCTCCAATGATGACCAATTCTGATTTAGTCCA